CGATTTTTTTTTCTTGGACATACCTGTGGCTTGTCCAACACAAGGTACCATGCAAAATTAACAATCATTAATATGATTTGTAGGCTGTCTCCAAACCATTGGGACAGCAAAGCGCATAGACCGTTTTTTGCCATTTAACCAGCTCCTCAGACTTGAAGCACATGTATTACAGCAGATGTGGGGTGCCCACTGTTTGTCTTGATCACCTAGTTTACAACCGAAATAAAGCTGATATGCCTTTGTTATTAGTGGAGTAATAGACCGTCTCTGAGACGCAAAAGTCACATCACTACATACGTAACAAAACTGATCTGGATTGTTTACAAACTTTCGAGACATCTTGCATGAACGCTGTCAGCCAACTGAGGAAAAAATGGCTAATATAAAACAATATCATGTACACGTATGTATAACGTAACACAATCATGCCGATTACATCATCTTTCAGTATATTAAGACTGTCACAGCAGGAACACATATAATTACCGTATCTCTAAAACTTGAACTAATATTGAAAAAATAAGTTTCATTCCGGTTTTAGCACATTAAAAATAGTAATATTTTATTTAGGATATTTTTTGGCTGTTGATCAGTGTAATCTAATCAACCTCTTTTGCAAAATGAACATTCTCTATGCCACAAGAAATGCCCCAATATACAGGGTGTTTCAGTTTATTGTTGCATAATTTTAAGATTCGATAAGTACTTTTAAAATTAATGCATAAAGCCTATATAAACATGGGTCGAAAAATGCGTGGCTTCCGAAATACAGGGTGTTTAAATTTACTTTCTAAAATAGTTTTTTTTAAATATTTCGAACAATATTTGATGTATAACAGTGAAAATTGGTATACAAGGGTTTTTTGGTACGACAAAACGAACCATGGGCATAGTTTTACTGTAGCCGCTAGAGGGCGCTCTCTACTGTACCTGTAGTGTATTAAAATGACCGAAAAAATTTTTCTTAATGCAATTTTCTGCTTTTTGAATAAAAAAACTGATTCTTCGCACTTTTCAACATAAAAAAGCTCTCTTGTGAGTTTTCGTTATAGTTAGCCGTTTTTGAGATATTTCGATTTTTAAGATTCGATGCATTTTTGATTATTTATAAGAAAATAATATTTTTTTACATTTTCGATTTGGGCATTATAAGTAATTAAGATGATCGTTTAGATTGTGTTTTTAAACACAGCAATAATTCCTAACTCCAAATAAACACAAAAAAAAACAGAATATTAATTTGTTTAATTTACCAATATTACTTTTAACAAATTAAATAAATTATTTACAACTAAAATGCTATTGGATAGTTAGGACAAACATACAAAATCTAAAGTAGTAAACCCAATTGTTCAATACACAATTCAAGAAATTTTGCCAAAAATGATTCCAAGCAACGTAACCTTTTAGATGCACTAAAGTAAGCTCATATCCGTCATAGACAGGATTAATCTAAAATTCTGCAAATTACTTTCGGAGAAAGATCGTCTTTGAACACAGACAGGCTTATTTAGCATAGGCGGTCTATTAACTATGCTGATCTGAGCTATCTATTTGCTGATTTGGCTGTTTGGAATTCTCTAGTATATTCTTCAGGAGGAAGTGCTGATCTTAGATTAAAGCTATCGAGTATATCACTCAAAATCAATTTGCTGTTCGAGTTGCTTAGCCAGTCTATGTTCAGATCGCCACCATCTATGATATTTTCAAAATCTCTACACACGCTACATAGCACAGAGTTAAAAATTCTTAAAAACGTATATACACTACTGTTATGAGATCGATAAAATACTAAAACCGCAATCTTTTCACTGCCAACTGTTACACACACGCACGCACTTTCACAGACCTTTTCTTTGATTACGTTTTAAAGCAGATTGGCTGGCTTACACAACAGATTTGATTGGCAATATATGGGAACACCACCATGTATCGATTCTTGTCTACAAAGACTGTCCACAAGATTCATATTTGAGATGACGGTTACACGAATCTGTTCATGAGTCATCCAGTGTTCACTAAGCAATAGTAGGTCTGGCTTTTCCTGATGTATAAGAACTTGGACTTTCTTTTTCTACTGCAGAACTCTCGTTAGTTCTGATTTTTGAGACATGAGAACTTGCTGGCATTGCTGACGCTGAGAAGACTGTTGCATAGGTGGGATTAACTGGTTTATTTATTTGTAATTGTTCCTCTGTATTAGTTATATTTGTTAATAATTGTTCAATTTTTGCGTTGACTCACTGTCACTGATCAGCTTCCGACAACGGCAGGTCTAACCAAAACCCTCTTCTTTTGTGGATAGTACACGGATATCACTATCTTTGATATTCACATACCTTGGACGGAATGCTTGGCGATAAAACCCTACACATTTCACCTGAATATCTGCTTGTTTTATGGTGATATTGCATCGTTTACACGCACTAGGTTTCGGCTCATCTAAACCGTACGTCGCCATGTTGAATAGAGGTGTAATAATACTTCATTTTATTACACCTCTATTCGAAAAAATGTTTAACTTCAACGAGCACCCTTTTTGTGTCTTTATGTTCCCTTATTTGGCGCTTCCCCCATTCTCAGAGTACATTTTTTGTTGGAAGGCTGTAAGCCTTAGGGGTTGCGGTGGTTCGGTTCACTTCCAGATGTTTTGACGACTTTTTCATTATGTAAACTTTCCAATAATTTTCTTACAAAATACACAGATATGCCTCCATGTCAGACAATTATGGGTGTAATAACAGAAGCCTGATGAAGGAACTCCATAGTTCATTACTTATACAACCCCTTATAGCAATCTGCCAAATAACAGGCAAGCAAACCAGCATGTATTTCTCTGGACGATCATAGTTGGGCCTCGATTCAGAGTTCATCGATCAGAGTTGAATGTGTTAAGAACTGGTTTTGGAATATCAAGATATCCAGTTCGTTTGCTGGGATTTCGACGGCAATACAGGGTGTAAACGTTATGGAAGCCAATATTGAAATGGGTAATAGGGGGGCTCAAAACAAGTCAAAAAGTTCATATGACCCATGGTCCAAAAGTCAATAGATTTTTTCTAAATGGCTTTACAGTTTACAACATTAAGTTCAATCGCCACAATCTTGCTAATTTTTATAATCTAATCCAGAGTTCCCTAAACTTTTTTGTGTCGTAGACCCCTTGCCATGTTTTTCCGTGTTGGGTAGACCCCTACTTACCTGGTATTGATTTCCTGTAAATTTCTAACTGTAGTGAAGTTTAGTGTTAAAAACTTAAAGTAAAAACACATGTTAATTTATACATTTACTAATTGAATTTAAATTAAAACTACTCAAAATAAAAATTTGTATCTGTTATGTAAAATATACGTAACATTAAATAAACAGGTGTCTGACCAATAAGTGCCCGCATTGGGAATAAGTGCCCGCATTGAAAAAAAATAATAAGAGGTTTAAAATAAAAAAAAAAGTGAAAAATAATTAAAAAAAAGTTTTTTACTTAAAATAGTACAATAAGCGAGTTCGTTTATTAATTATAACATAAACGTATGTTCTGCAATAATGTCACTGTTAGTTTGATTAAATTCCGCTTCTCATACGTTTAGGTTATCTAAAAATAGGCAAAAAATTAACGAATTTTAGTGAATATTCAGATTAATTTAAAAAAAATATATTTTCTATAAACGGGGGTTCTTTAAAAAAATCAATGCGGGCACTTATTCCCAATGCGGGCATTTATTGGTCAGGCACCAATAAACATAAAATAAACTATAAATAAAATAATATAAGCAATAAGTCAATATTTTTAGTGAGAAGGATGAACCTGACGCTTTAATAATAAATTATCAACATTTGGCATCACTTTTGTAAGGGTTAATCTTAAATCTCCTCGGATAATGATGTCCAGTCTGTTTCTTTTTTTCGTTAGGAGATTGGTAACAGCGCTGAACCCCCTTTCCACTAGGTATGACGATGGAAAGGAAATTAAAAATTTCCTCGCTATATTCCATAATACGGGATAAGTAACGGGTATGTTGTTTTGCAGCCAGAATTGCTGATATCCGTTTTTAAACTGAACCTTAAGTTCTTCGTTTGTACTTAGTTCAGTCAGTTCCTCTTGTATTATGACATTCGTTTCTTCTATGTCTGGATTAATTATCCACGGTGGTATTACCATACTCAAAATATCCTGAAACCTAGATTCAAAATCTGAATAGAGGACATTTAAATGTTGAACGTTAGTTGAAACGTCGTCTTCCTGGCAGCTTGTCTGTGACAAATTGGGCAAATGAGAAAATTCGCCCCGTCCAATATTTTGCTTCATTAGTTTAACTCTGGCAAGAAACGCTGATAATATGGACTTTGTTTTAATCAAATTTAAACTGTCGCCTTGTAATTGCAAATTAACCAAATTTTGTAAACAAATCTGTTAAATAGGCGATGTATGTTTTCGTCTTCATTAAATTTTCTTTTAAAATTTTATCTTTAGTATCCAGAAATTCTAAAATAGTCTCAAAAAGTCCAAAAAATCTTGTCAAACATAAGCCTTTCGACAGCCAGCGTACTTCAGTGTGAAGGAGTAATTGATGAAAGCTTTCGTCATTTTCTTCACACAACTGCGCAAATAACCGCGTATTCAACGCGTGGCTTCGGATTCGGTTTACTGCATCAAGGACCAAATGAAGTGATTCGTGCAATCTAGCACTCAAATTTTTAGCAACTAAATGTTGTCGATGGATGACGCAATGTATTGCTAACACCCCTGACACATTTTGTTTTAAATGGCTTATTAATCCACGATAACGTCCAACCATGGCAGGTGCTCCATCTGTAGCTACTGATATTATATTTGATAAAGGAATTGGTTTTTCAATGAAGTAATCCTTCAAAACATGAAATATTGATTCACCTTTAGTGTCGGTTATCAAAGTTCTTGCGAAGAGCAGTTCTTCGTAGATTTCTTGATTCGTAATAAAACGAACATATGCCAATAATAATGCTGCATTATCAGGTAAAGTTCACTCGTCCAGTTGTATAGAGAAATTGGTCGTTTGCAAATAATTACATAAGAAGCTTTCAATATCAGAACTCATTTCGTCAATACGTCTTTCAACAGTATTGTTGCTTAAGGGAATTCTTTTAATGATATCAGATCCAGGTTTGTGTAAAACAGTTTTTAAAACCTCTTCAACGGCTGGCCAAATTAACTTCTCTCCGATAGTATGCGGTTTTCCGGATTTTGCTATAAGTAACGAGATATTGTAAGCCGCCCGCAAATCATCATGATTTCTTTGTGACGTCGAAGCGAACATTCTGTCCAGTGTAGGTCTCTCCTGAAATTTATCTTTGAGTGTTTGAAAGTATTTCAAATCTTTCTCTGTTTTATCAGGGTGGCATCTTCTCAGATGATCTTGCAGTTTAGATGGTTTCATAGCGTCATTGCCCAAAACTTTGTTGCAAAATTCAGCAGCTGTATATTCAAACTATTTTTTTATTTTTCCGAAAACATTCCATAATTCGAACATCTTCTTGCAACAATTAGCTCGAATTACGGAGATTGCACTGTAATTATATTACCGATTGCTAAAACTTTCAAAAAGAAACTATTGAGTAGTACTCGTGTAAATTTGCATGATTGAATATTTAACTACTAATAACTAAAGTCATGATTGGCGTAATTTATCTATCTTCGCTAACTACGAGTACAAAACTAAAATTTAATAAAAAATAATGTACTTACTTTTCTCCAGCACTCTCAAACAAAATAACACTGACTCACTATAATTTGTGTGATATACTATCCGTTTATATTTTTTAAAATATTTTCTTAGCACTTTCCTTTTCAAGATTCAGGATACGAATAAACGTATTTGTCCCACATTCGTATTTATATCGAATGACGAATTGAACAAGTCAGTGCAAGGTAGCGAACCTCTGAGACTGCGACTCTCAGGTTTTTACAAGTTCACAATGTATTGCGACCACAATGCGGCTACCAACATCCTACAACTTACAGAATTTTATCAACATATATAAAAAAAATTTTACTTCATAGGTACTTTTATAAATAATGTATATGTTTTGATATTATAAGATAATATGATGTAAGTAAATAGGTACTATCAGTGTATGTGTTGAGATCCACTATCGTGGACCCCCATATTCATTTCATGGACCCCCAAATTTTTTTTCGTTGACGTACACCCCTTGCAGGTTGTCATAGACCCCTAGGGGTCGATATAGACCGCTTTGGGAATCAGTGATCTAATCTAAAACGTTTTTATATTGGGTAATTAACAAATAAATGGCATTAAGTTTTTCTGAGTTAAGCAAACATTTGTAGTCAGTAAGTAAGTAAATTCTATTAAATTAAATATTTAAAACACACATGACAACAGCGCGTCGTCATCATCCTTATCGAAGCGGCAACCGACCGCAAACGGTAACAGTGGATAATTATCGGGCATCGGGCGTGTTTTGTTTTTGTTCGCGTACTTCGTCGTGTTTGTTTACAAATCAAGAGTTCGCAGACATGTTGTCAAATTTATCGTGACAAATTTCGCCAATGGGTACACCCAGACGGAAGGACATTTATGCAAGTGTACCAAAGACTTCGAGATGCAGGAAGTGTTCGGTCGACTAATATTCGCACTCGTGAAAGACAGGTTACTGTAAAGCAGCAAATTCTCATACCATTCGTGAACAACGTTTTAAAATAAATGTTGGGAGGGTATTCTTGACGATCAGGTAATTGGCCCTTTCGAGTTATCCTCAAAGTTGTCAACATAGTGATACCTTAAGGATTTTTTCGCGAGTCCAAGGTGTAGCACAATGCACTACCAGGAACCGATACTCAAATTTTCGCAAAGAATGGGAATAGGGGAAGACGGATGTGACGTCATCCGAATGTCAGAAAATCACGTGGTACGGGAACCCGCCTAACGTCTGTGAGGTACTAGCGGGTGACTGGTCTTATCTCAATTGAAAATTTGTCTTCGCAGTGCTGAAAATTGAGTTAATTTATTAAATCCTAAATAGAGGAACACATCTACCTGATTTTAAATGACGAGGAAAAATGTCATCGAAGATATATGACGGGGGACCACCACACATTTTTAGAGGCGTTATTCAGTATTTGAATTAACATTATCCAAATCGCTGGATCGGTCGAAATGCTCCTGATCCTCGAAAATGGCCAGCAAGATCTCCTGACCTCAATCCGATGGATTTCTGGTATTGGGGAGAACTTAAAGAGATGGCTTATGGGGCTGATCCAATAAGAACTGAAGCACAACTTCGCGAAAAAAATTTTAATGCGGCTGAAATAATAAATGGACAACTTCGAGGACCTAGAGTAAGAAGAAGCTCGGTTCGTCGTAATGAAGCTTGTCTGGAAAGTGGAGGACGACATTTTGAACACCTTCTTTAAATACAAAAAAGTACACCGTGAGTTTTAAGAAGAAAAACAATGTATCTATCAAAATTGTGTTCCTATTTATAAGTGGATTTTTTTAATACGTTCAGTAAACTTTCACACACCAGGTGAAGCGCTGAGGCAGTTTGCATTTTACGAGTACATTATCAAATAATGCAATAATACCTGAAAGCCATAAATAACAAACTTCATCTTTATTTACACTGCGTTCCGTCGTGATTTGCGTCTGGCATTGCGGCGTTGTCAGATTTTATTTTACTTTAAAGTCACTTTTCTCTAAAAAAAAATGCCGTTTTGACCCCCATGTTATATGAAGCTTTTTGCTTCTTTCAACCCCCTCTATCACTCATTTAAGTTTACACCCTGTATTACGAATTATTTGTAACATAACGTGAAGGCGTCAAGAAATAGTTTTCGTATCAAGATATCTCGTTTATTTGCTGGGAATTTAAGGGAAATATACCCGTAACTCCAAATCGCTTTTTCATCTCCCCATCAGTAGCTTCGAAGGCGGAGAGTATCAACTCAGCGAATTCAAAACTAAATTACTTTCTTGCTGAAAATTCATATATGGAAATAGCGATGAGATTAGTTCCTTATTCGAATACAGTAGGGCTCTGCCCTCAGTATTCCCTTGCGATTCATGTATCTCAAAGTCGCTAATTTTATACATTTCCAGCAACATGCTAATTTGGTATTTGAATTCTAGTGGATGGTGCTCGCTACACTAAGTAACGTAACTGGTTTCTCCTTACGCTCTTCTTTCTTCACGATACCTCTCTGGGTCTTGATTCAGCAGTGTTCTTCTTCTCGTTGCCGCTTTGTGCTGGGTGCCAAAATTTCTCTGCTATTGTGTTCAAAATATTTTGTTTTAATACACGGTCTTTTAAGTTTTGCATATAGAAATAAAACAACACGGTAGGTAGTTTTAAATGACTTTATTGTTTTTCGAAGTATTCTGCACGAAGATTAATACACATCTGCATGCGCTCGAACCAATTTTCGAAGCACTTATTCCGCTCGTTTGCTAGAAGATCCAAGACGGCATTTTTGGATGCGTCAACTGCTTCTTCTGGAAACTGGAACCTTTGACCACGCAGTCTGTTTTTAATTTTCGGGAAAGTAAAGAAATCGTTAGGACTTAGATCGAGACTATATGGAGGATAGTCCACGTTTTCTTCCGTTAAATACTGCCTTGTTTTTTTGGGCTGTGTGCGAGTTTGCATTGTCTTGGTGGAGGATGCTTCTTCTTTCGGGGTTAATTTTTCGAAGCTCGGTGATGACTGTTGGCAAACAAATGGTGGTATACCAATCCGCAGTAACAGTTCTTTGCTCGTTAAGAGGAATTGTCGCAACACGACGCTTTTGACACAAATGTCGCGGCCATCTTTTTCGAAACACTTCGAGAACGGATGACTTTTATTGGCTTTTCTTCACCTTGGAACACCCAAACAGCCGACTGTCGCTTATTTTCTGGTTCATAACAGTATATCCACGATTCATCACCACTAACAATGCTGTACACATTTTTTGAGTTTCCGGAATTGAAACGATCATGCGTCTTTTGACACCAATTAACCCTTTTGAATTGAGGTCTTTGAGATCTTCAAGTACGCCTCAATCTCGCGATATGTCACATGTCTATCTTCAATGATGAGTTTGCGCACAGCATCGACGTTTTCTTCGGTGACTGCCGTTTTTGGTGCACCAACCCTGGGATCGTCGCTAATACTCACCACCCGTCCACGTTTGAATTCTCCATACCAACTGGAAATCGTCGACTGATGTGGCGCTTCGTTACCGAAAACAGACAGTAACTCAGCAAGGCATTCTTGTTGTGATAATTGTCTCTGAAAGTTGTAATAAATTATGGCGCAAAAATGTTCTCGGTTGAGTTCCCTCTTTCTAATGACTTGGTGATACTTAAAAATTCACACGTATTGTTGTCAAACTGCGAATTTAAGTTTACTAAAGAGCGAGGTTAAGATTCAGTACTGACGTTCGATCCGCGCGGCCTACTGTTTCTATATGCAAAACTTAAAGGACATCCCTCGTATTGACTTAAATAATGATTTGCTGTATTCCTAATATTGATGTCTAAAACATTATAGTATTTGGCGGCGTTATATGGTATGAATAAGAACGCTGAAGCATGGCTGTGCGATGTCTTGTTATGGATAATATGGCTCATATACCTTAAATTTAAATCTTGAATTCTTGTTCTAAATGTTAGCTTGTTCCAAAAACGTAATGGTTAATGAGTAGTTGTAATAAATTTTATAAATGATAAAAATAAATATTTGAACAGATTATTCGTTTTGAGACATCCTCAATCTTTGATTGAGCTACGTTGTACAATTCCTTAGAATATGAATCAAGCGGCAACAAGAATTTTTATAGTATTTTGATCTCAGCAAAGATAATATGTTATGATTCCATATACAATTACGAAAATAATTGATGAGTCACATAATCACCTTTTTGTTTTAAAACCGAGGAAGTGCCTGTTGGTATATAATAGCTACAGCCTGAAATAGCATGTCTTGATGACGCTGTTAACATGCGTGTGAAAACGTTGTTCTTAGTCTATGAGTAGACCCAAACTTTTGCATAAATGATTAAAATTTTGAATCTGTGCTTCTTGCTTTCGGGTTCAGGCTTGCTTTTAGATGTCTCCTTTTTTCTTTCTTGCAAAACAGTACATTTGATTTTTGAGGATTGAGTTTCATGTTATTAATAGCAGAATCGTTATTATTACTTTCAAGGTCAATACTAATTTTAGCCTCAGCCATCAGGTCGAAAGCTTGGCAATAACTGAAAATTGTTTGAAAGTTTTAAAAAATCTCATACAAGTACGAAAGTACAAAATGTACAAAAGTTAGTTAACGAGCTGTGGCG